TGTGTGTGTGTGTGTGTGTGTGTGTGTGTGTGTGTGTGTGTGAGTGTGTGTGTGTGTGTATATATGTATGTATGTATGTCTTTCTCAATTTTTTGAGACAGGGAAGACAGCCCACACATTATGGAATACCATAATCAAAAGTAAGAACCTCAGGATTCCACAAGTGTCTTCAGACGAAGGTCAGTACAGCTACAAGCTCTCACAGAGCACCAAGTGCAGAGATTCCAGAGAGACAGCATTTCTTCAAGGCTTAAACAGTCTCAAAACAAATTCTCAGCCTTTACCGATCAACACAAACCTAGCCAGGCTTTGCTGAAACATGTCACTCAAAACCAGGCACAATGGCTTTACGATACACATCACTACATGTGTGTATACAGAATCAGAACCCCCTAGGATGCAAACTCATAGATCGTGTAGGGAGTTTTATGGTTAAAACTGTGTTTGTATTTCCAGGCATTTTTAGATGAATTTGACAAAAGGAGTCATGGAAGTCCAAGTGACACCCAAGGTACAGTAAAGTGTTTAAGTTGACCAGTGATTTCTTGTTACCAAGTAACTGTTCAATGACAGGAAAAAAAGGATGATGGTGATCATTTCTCTGATAAGTCAAACTATGGAACATATTAAATAAAAATTAAATGATAGTCCATGCATGTGAGTAGAAAAGACAGTGGCCTGTTTATGGGACTTGGAGTAAAGAGAAAAGGTGGGCCAGATTATATAATCTGTACAGTGGGATTTTTGAGTTACTGACAAGACTACCATCTCCACTGTGATGTGTATTTCCCAAGATACATCTTAAGAGACAATGCAAGCCAACACTTCTCTGTCAAATATGTCTTTCTATTTCTGAGTTCACCTTGTTTGGGGTTCACTGGAGCTTTGTTATGAAGCAAGGTTTTGCCACGTTGCCTAGGATGGTCCCAAACTCCCAAATTCAAGCTACACTTCTGTTCCAGCTCAGAGCCAGGGCAACAGTAAAAGACAGCCAATACAGTGATAGAGCAGCCTGTGACCTCAGCCATTCTTGCTTCTGATGACCTGGTGCCTAATTCTGTCTTTTCTTTTCTCTGGGCAGGGTTTTATGGGAGTCTCTCCAGCCCTACATTAGGAGTGCATGAAATGAATATTGGCCCGATTTTGTTCCAAGTGGCCACGGGGGACATTACCAAAGAAGCGGCAGATGTGATTGTCAATTCAACATCAAATACATTTAATCTCAAATCAGGTACTTAGTGAGATGGATTCTGTCTCCTGCAGTAATCAGTGTGGCAGATCCGATGAAGAGGTGTTTCTAAAAGCAGTCTGTTGACTTGGGCTTGTTCCTGTTAACTAGTATCTATAAACCTAATTCAATGAGCTTTCTTACAACTGGCAACATTTTTGAAAATGTCTCCTTTGTCTTTACTGCTCTATGATGGGGTGTGTTGAGACACAAAGACGTCTTTCTGGTCAGGTCACCATCTTGATTTTCTCATGTAGGAGTCTCCAAAGCAATTTTGGAAGGTGCAGGACCAAGTGTGGAGATCGAATGTTCTATCTTGGGTAAGGAACAATGTTGCTTCTTGGAGCCAGATTGGAAGTGGAAGATTGACTGTGGGAGGCTGTGAGGAAACCGAGGAAGGGCCTTGGACTGGGAGGACAATGTATTAATCTTTTTTGATTTTGTTTTATTTTGAGACCCATGTATTCATCATAAGATTATATATTTTATGAAGGAATTCCATATGAAAGAAACTGAAAAGCGTAAGGTTATCAAATTTCACGATATGCAGTATTTCATGAACTTTTAATTCATAAAATGTTTCCTCTTGAAATCAGACATCTTGCTTTCTCCAAGCACAGGACGCATCTGACTCTGAATCTTTTCATGTTTTACAGCTCAGCAGAACAGTGAGTACATAGTTACTGAAGGTGGATCACTGAGATGCAAGAGTATTATCCACGTTCATGGTGGGAATGATGTGAAGAGATCAGTTTCCTGTGTTTTGGAAGAATGTGAACAACGGAACTACTCATCCATTTGCCTACCAGCCATTGGCACAGGTCTGTAGCCACAGGCTATCAAGGCTACATCCCAAAGTGTCGACTTCCCCATGGATTTGGTCCTCACTGGGTCTGGGTGATGACAGGGACACCTTCCCTAGGAGTAGACAGTTTCCTCACTCCAAGAATACCCATCTACAAGGGAATGAGCAAAGCCTGTGAGTTCTTTAAGTATAAGGAGGAAAATGAGTAGGGTATATTTATGTGCACCTGTGGTCCCAATGACTAAAAGGATGGAGGCAGGAGGAGTGAATTATGTCCCCATAATTGTCTACAAGGTTAGTCAAAGGCAACTACTATAATTTTCTGCAGCAGTTGTAGGCGCCATTAACAGGGATAATCCAGATGGACTCTCAGTCGATCAAGCCAGCTTTCCCAGGAGACTTTTACACTGCCTGTCATGTGACTTTGGCAGCTGTTTTTCACTTTTGGCTATTCCACAGCCTTTACTTTTCCAGTGGATTTGAGTGCTTGAGAAACAAGATCTGGATACATGTTAAAGACAGGAGTGGATCTACTCAGTGGCCGCTTTAAATTTTTCTGGGCAGCAAAAATGGTACAGAGTATGGGGAAGAAAGACATCTTCGAGGATAAGGATAACTAATATGCCTAGAATTGTAGACTATAACAAGTAGCTTACAGTTCTGGGTGCCTTAGAATTACCTTAGTTTGAATCAGGTCCCCAGAGGTAGCTGGGAGAATCTCAACACATGCATAAAATCTAACAGAGGCTCAGATTGTCTCTGTAAGAACCATGTTGTTGTTTCAGGGTGTATTATCTTTTTTCCTGCCTTTTATGATCTTATGAAAACTCTAGTAAATCAAGGGAGGACCATCACCTGGACTCTGTAATGGGAGGGGAGTGACCCTGGGAGCCAGGATCCGCTGAAAAGGACAGATGTGAATGTCACAAATCAGAATGGGTTTCAGGGGCTTTACCTGGAGCATTGACCTGTGGACAGTGTGGTGCAGAAACTTCTCCCCACTGCGTGTAGGATGTCAGAATTATTTGATGACATCATGTATGAGAACTATACAGCCATTAAAGGGGAACCAGGCATTTTTCTTTTCCTGTGACATCTGGAATTCCTTGTTTATATAGCAGCCTTTTGCAGGTAGATCTTACCTTGTCTTTTGTGTGTGTGTTTAAAGGAAATGCTCAACAAGACCCAGATGCAGTTGCTAAAGCCATAATGGATGCCATTGAAGAATTTATCCAGAAAACATCAGTGCAGGCTGTGAAGAAAGTCAAAGTTGTTATCTTGCAGCCTCATATCCTGGATGTTTTTTATGACAACATGAAAGACAGAGAAGGCTCCCTGGATCCTCCCCAGCCATCTCTACTGTCTAAGATCTCCTGTGAGTTGTTCGCTTTTATCAAATACATATTCCTCACCTTGATGCTGAGGGGAATGAAAGAAAAATTAATTGTCATTTTTCTCTTTAGCCTTTTTTGGCTTTTCAAAGCCCACTCCCCCCAAACAGAACACCCTGTTTTTGGAAAAGAAAATAGAGCAGACAGTTTTCCAGGTGTGTGGCATAGATGAAGACAGTGTGGAACGCACAATCTCCTGGATACAGAATCTGATCACCCAGGAGCAGCATTCCTATCGCAGTGATGATGAGTGTGTCAGAGACTTTGGTGAGAAGGAGTACAAGAAGCTGAATGAGCTGCAGGAGAGGCTGAATGTCGTCATTGAGCTGGACCAGAAGACATCTTTGATTAAAGTTGCAGGAATTAGCAGAGATGTGATAGGAGCTAAAGATGAGATTGAAAACCTGATCAAGAGCATCCGATTGGTTAAAGAGAAGAAAAGCCAGGCAGACTATGTTTCCACATTTGTGGAATGGCGATATGTTGACAACAACGTCATACACTGTTTCGACAAAATAGCTATCATGCAGTTGGAGGACGCACGGCAGGCAAAGCAGACGAGCACTGTTGTCAGAATTAATAATCAGGACTTCACAGTGAACTTGAGGACAAACACGGCCACAGGCCCTCAAGGACAGAGTGTCACAGTTCAGCGCATCTTAAAAGATGAAAGTAAGTTACATGCTCGTGGGTGTCAGTCGTTGCCCCATCTCTGATTTTTACATTATTTTAGAAACACAGCAGGATTTTGTTGTTGTTGTTGTTGTTTGTTTTTGTTTTTTGAGACTGTCCTGAAACTAGCTCTTTTTAACCAGGCTTGCCTCGAACTCACAGAGATCTTACCTATATCTCTCTAGTGCTGGAATTAAAGGTATGAGCCAGCACTCGGCTTGTTTTGTTTTGACAATGTTTTATTATTTAGCCATTGCTGGCCTGGAACTCTTCTGTTTTGTTTTTGAGACAGTGTTTCACTAATAGCCATGGCTTGTCTTGAACATAGATCAGGCTGGGTTCAAATTCAGAGATTTGCCTGCTTCTGCTTCCCAAATGCTTTGATTAAAGGCATGAGCCACACGTGCACTGTTATATTAAATTTTAAAGGAGTTAAAATTCAAGTAACACTAGTAGAATAATTTAAAGATCTTGGTCTCTAAGTTTCTAGAGCATACACTATGGCTAGGAAAATAGAGGATGGATGAGCCCAACAGCCCAAGATGAACCATCTTAACTGTAACAAGAGTTAACCTTGCATTTTCCATCTGGATCATTTATACTGGATCAGTTCTTCTGGTGAAATTATGACTGTCTGGGGCAGAGGTAGAAAAAAAATCATTTCAGAAGGAAAGCGGCCCAAGGTTCTCAAGAACACAACAGTCAAAAAGAGGACAGACTTGTTAGAGTTGGCCACTGTGTCTATGACAATGACCAAGAGAAGACCCGAATTCTATTACCATCTTCTCTTTCCTGTACTAAAGGTTCCTGTGTTCCAGGCCGGGTAGCGGCCTACAGGTTCCCTGTAAATCTGATCCCCAGGAAGGGAGTGTCTGTCTTGTGTAGGCTGACAATTCCTGCCCTCAAACCACATGAGTCTCCAATGGCTTCCCACGGACTAGATTCATCTTTTGTAGGATCAGTATAGATGAACCCCTAGACTCTAAGCAACACTGGAAGAATGACATATAATATGTGGTGTTCTACAGCCTCCCACAGACCAACCCTACCACCCACCCACTTTCCTAATGAGAATGGAGTGAGTCAAATGAGAAAATACATGTAGACTGCCCTCCAGTAGTACAAACTCATGAATGTGCAAATGACAGATTGTTCAAAACAAGTTAGTAATGAATTTGTTAAATCACATCAGAGTAGAGGCTGTGCACTAAATGAAGGTGAGTTACAGCATGTAGTCAGTTCTCACACCTTAGCAAGACAGAAACAGGAATAGGCAGAGAGGCTCCATCTCTAGGAAACCCTACCTCAGTACATCGATGGTTTTTGTCTTCTTCTGGAGAGGGTGCTGGGAAACAAGTCTCATATGTGTCAGGCAGGAGATCTACCACTGCACTATCTCACCCTAAATCACCGGCCTCTTCTAAACAAGTTTTCCACCTCATCCTGATACCAATGGTCCATGCTCCACACTTTTAACATCATCCTTTTAGAAAGATAAGGAATTTCTTGAATATACAGAATTATGAGAAAATACACAAGAGGGAGGCAGGTTTTGTCAAAGCATACTGGAAATGTACACAGGAGCCCTCAAATATCTATTTTGCAGCTGAAATCCCTTCAAATTGGAGTGACATGAGGCAGAAAACATTGCTTGTGGTCAGTCTGCAAACCAGTGATCCTGAGTATATCATGGTGGCAAACAAGTTCCAACAGACCTGCCGGAAATTTGTCATAGAGAAGGTAAGTTGGCTGCTGAGTTTTCTAATGAAAAAGTTATATAGTTATTTAAGTGATATAACCAATGTTCCTGAATAAACTCACTCATATATGAGTCTGTAGAGGTGGCCCATGGGTAAAAGTTTCTTTTGTAATAGAATAGAATCCCAAGTTCCAAGTTTGGTTTCCAGACCCACATCAGCTAGCTTACAATAGCCTGAAACTGTGGCACCTATCTAGCCAACCTAACTTGGTGTGTTAACTTCGGACGAGTAAGATGGCCTTGTCTATGTGTGTGTTTGTGCGTGTGCATGCATGTGTCCCTGTGTGCGTGTGTGTGGAGGAGGGTTAGAGGGAAGAGACTGTTTACATATGTAAAAGTTAGACTATAACTCTGTGGAATCAGTGTCCTTCCAACTTTAAGGATCGAACTCAGGTCGCCATATTCTTCCTGAGCTGTCTTACCAGTTCTAAAAATATTTCTGAATATAGGACGCTGTCACTTGGCACTGAATTTGCTACAGTAGAATTTTTGTTCATGAGACACAAAGACGACAGCTGGCTATCACTTGGCAAGAGTTCTTGGGTTTTCCAGAATAGCTTAATACTTTTTAAATTTATAGATCGAACGGATCCAGAATCCAGCTCTCTGGAAAAAGTACCAGGCAAACAAAAAAATCATGGATGAAAAGAATGGCCATGAAAGAAATGAGAAACAACTCTTCCACGGGACGGAGGCTAGCTCTATTCTACACCTCAACAGTCACGGTTTTAACCGCAGCTACGCTGGGAAGAATGGTGAGAAAGGATGCAATCAGTTTCCCCAAATGGGCTGCTGACTTGGAACCACCCTGGGCTCCATTCACTGTGTTCCTCACATTGTAGTAGTAAATGGCGATAAATTTCAATTTCACCCCAAGGATTTGACAACCTCTTTGAGGAGGAAAATTAATAAGAACAATGATGATGATGATGATGATAAACGAAATATTCATATATTCTAGCCGATCATTCCTTTCACATTAGTTGACATAGTGGGCTAACATGCTGGTTTATATCAGTAGTACACTGAACTACTTTAAAATGTCTTTCTCTTTGCAGCCACATGCTATGGGAAGGGAACCTATTTTGCTGTCGATGCTTCCTATTCAGCTAATGATACATATTCCAGACCAGATGCCAATGGGAAGAAGCATATGTATTACGCGCAGGTTCTCACTGGGAACTACACAAAGGGAAACCAGTCACTGATTGTGCCTCCTCCAAGGAACCCTCAAAATCCTACTGACTTGTACGACACTGTCACAGATGATGATATAAACCCAAGTATATTTGTAGTGTTCTATGACAATCAAGCATACCCAGAGTATCTCATCACCTTTAGGCGGTGACACTTCAGGGCACCTTCACGCATCTGCTGCAAGACAGATTTTAGCAGTTTCCTCCCTACGATGTCTCTAAGAGCACAAGGTCTTCTTTGCCGTGGACATGTTTCCTCAGCTGCTCCTCCATGGTGGAAATGAATCCACTTGAGAGCCAATCTAATTGAAAATTTACATCAGGTAACAGCTGAAGCTGTGCTGTCTCAAATGTGACAGTAACATCCTCACAGACTTTCAGGACACCACGCAATTCTGGCTGCCACCAGTGGAATCATGTCAGAGAGGCAGTGTGTCGTGGGGACACACAGTCACTGAACCAGGAAGACTGCCAACGGCAAGCTGAACAGATCCAGAGCAGAGAACCTGTTCCTTCACTAACATCCCTGTGCCATGTGGGTTGGACAACTCCAGACAGGGCTATGTACAAACTGGGTACATGAGCTAGCAGATGGCTCGTGGTCGGTGTGAACTGAGCTACAAGGAGGGGCACTGCTCAGAAGCTGTGGCCCTATTTGTAAGAAGTTTCTTTTAATGTCAACCCCAATGTTCTGGCTACCTACTGAAATTAATGGGATAACCCCTGCTTCATCTCCAGGGGAACTCTTCCACCCTGTGAGAATGAGTGAACGCTGAGGAGATCTGCTAGCATCTTTCCCAGGGTAGGCCATCTTGTGATGACTTCACAGCTTTGTGTGTAAGCCAATTAGTCAGGCTGCTAACTCAGAGTCTTCTGGATGGTAATTCTTTCTTGTGGTACTGGGGACTGAACCCAGGACCTCACATAAGCCAGGAAAAGCTCTACCACTGAGCTACACAGCCCCAGCCCTCTTTACTTCTTATGTTGAGGCAGGATCTCATTTAGTTGCACAGGCTGGCTCTGATATCCTTCCGTAGCCTTGGCAGGCCTTGAACTCACTCTCTTCCTGCTTTGGCTACTTGTGTGAGGCCTGTGCCACCAGACCTGGCTAACAATGTTCTTCTAATTTTCTCCTGTCAATTTCAGACTCAGTGCCATTTATTGAGTACCTAGACATGTCCATGTAGAGTGAGAGATGTGGTCACAAACATGACCTTGTTCCCATGAATAGTGCTTTGGGAAGAGTTTTTCCATATTTCAGGGCTTAAGGGAACATGTTCAGAGTACAAGAAATGTTCTTATTTGAGATCACTGAGGCAGGAACCCTGAGAGCCAGCTTACTGAGTCTTGGTGCTGGTGTCCAGCCCTTATCTCTTCCCACCACAGAACTTGGCCTTGAGAGAAGCAGGTGCTGTTTTGGCCTTCAATCAGTGGCCATCATACAGTGACTATCAATGAGTGATCATTACTCAGTGTTCATCACATGGTGGTTATTACACGTGATCTTCATGTAGTGACTATCACATGGTGTCTTTCACATAATGTCCGTCACACAGTGACCATCACAGTTGCAAGTGTCTCATGTCTGTGAAGTGACCTCAGATATCCCTGGCTTTTGTCCTTCTGAATTCGGTGCCCACTCTACTTCTTATTAGGAGTTCTGTAGGCCAAGGAGCTAGTGCTGTGTAAAGTTCTCGGGTGATACATCCTGGGTGTTGGGAGAATTAAGGTGCTGCTTCCCACCATAGGGTTCACCAGGGGACCTCAAGGGGAGCAAGGGTCACCATTGCTGCCACAACAACACAGAGGCCTTGGAACTTCTGCTGCTCTTTCTAAGTGGGCTGGCACAGACTGTGGCTTAGGAGGGGCTGGCTTCCTCTGCACTGGCATCTGAACTCAGTGCCAACAGTGGTCTTAGGAAACAGAATAAAAATAAGAGGTCTGTTTTCATCTGCTTTTGTCCTCCAGTGGTTTAGTTAACTCAGGGCAAGGCTGAATAGCCTGATGTTACACTGTGGAATAAAGACCCAACCAGCAAATGTCAGCCTTTCCTCACTTCTAGTAAAATTACTTGAAAAAAGTCTCTTGGTAGAATCATTTTTCCCCTAAAGGGCAAACATGGGGAGGGTCTGTGTAGGTCACTGATGTACAGTGGCCACAATTAGCAGAATAGCACTGAGGGTCCTTAAGGTTCTATGCTGAGTTGGGAACTACGGGAGGGGTACCATGCACCTTAAGGTTCAGAGAGCCTGTATCCAGTGAGCTCCCAGCCTGCGGCCCTAGACTGGTCTGGATAGCTTACTGTAGGACCACACAGCCTATGCTCCTTGGACACCTGACGAATGTGCTGAAGGCTCAATCTGTGGTGTCCTCCATGCATTATAGAATCTGCTTTCAGTGGGCACCTGGAAGATTCCAACAGCCCTAACCATGATCCACACCAGGATTTGGGGCCCAGAAACTTCACCTTTGTATCGCTTAGTGCAAAAACAGAATTAAAACCTCAACTCAGGGGCCAGACAGAGGGCTCAGTGCTGTGGGACAATGGTTTTACCCTTTAAAGATTTGTTTCTCTTACTTGTTTAATAAAATGCTGATTGGTCAGTAACCTGGCAGGAAGTAGAGTCAGGGCAATGAGATCAGGAGAGTTCTAGGAAGAGAAAAGATTCAGTTTGCACTTGTCACCCAGACACAGAGGAAGCCAAACACAGACAAAGCAAGATGTACCTGCCTTGTGGAAAAAGGTACCAAGTCACTTCACTAACACAGTCAAGTATTATGGACTAATATAAATTATAAGAGTTAATAATTAGCCTGAGCTAATAGGCCAATCGGTTTATAATTAATGGAAGCCTCTGTGTGTTTATTTGGGACTAAACAGATATGGGACCTGGTGGGACAGAAACCTCTGTCAACAGATCAGTGGTTAAGAGCATTTGCTCTTGCAGAGGACATGGGTTTAGTTCCCAGCTCCCACATGGCAGTTCATGGCCACTTGTAACTAGAGTTTCAGAAGCCAATGGCCTCTTTTTATGACCTCTGAGGGAACTGCACACATGTGGAACACATACATACATGCAGGTAAACACACATATTAAATAAAAGAAAGTCTTAAAAGGTGTCAAAACTATGCAACTGTACTAACTACATCCACAGCTATCATCAAGAACTGATTAGGTCATTTCATTAAAAACAAAACAAAACCAAAGATCCCAAAACTTTTTCAGGATGCCTTGAAAGCACAATGGCCCTAGCCACTGTACCTACTGAAAACAATATGGGTTTGTTAGTCCTGCTGACTCAGATACAACTCAGCTGGAACCTACAGGAGTGCGTGAGCTCCAATGGCCTCTGCAGAACCCAAGGACTTCTTTACCAGTTGGTATTTCTCACTCAGCTGTGGTCCTCTAGAGCAGGATGGGGTGGGAGCCAGGTCATGCTGGCTTTCTCTGTGATCACCCTCTCCTACCTCTTGGCAATCAGCCAGGGCCTCACAATCTCTGGCTAACGTCAGGGAACCCCCTCCCATCTCCCACTTCTACCAATGTTGTCTGAACTTTTCCCAGGTCTTTGTATAACACCATTCCTTCCCAGAGAATGAAAGACTTCTCTACTGTAGAGCATCCAAGCTTCTCTGAGCCCGGCATACACTGAGTCCATTCTGTGTCAGTCAATGCCTTCAGAGAACCTAGAATGCCTCGTGAGAAACTTACCTAGAAACAATATTTGCTGAGCAGTTTCATCAAATAATGCTCGTGCTGGAAACTAAAATGTGTTTGTTTCCTCTAAAATCAAAAAAGAGCTGTAACCCAGCTCTGACTCTATTGGTGTTTATAACAAGGCAACTGCTGAGAGCTCCAGGACTCACCAGATATGCCTGCACAGGATGCCCACAGGATACTGAACCCTGGAGTGAGTCTCGGGTTATCTCTTCTTTTCTCCCCTACTCTATACAGGTATCACAGCTGATGACTCACAGCTGAGCCATGCAGAGAAAACCAAAAAGTACCTGAAGAAAGAGATCTGTTCTGTGATGTAATCAAATCTAAGAACAGAAACAGCTCTGATCACAGCAAGCTTCGTGCCATAGCCACTGGTGGAGCATTGCCTACACCACTCTCTCGTCTGCCTACTCAAAGAGTTAGGAGTGTGCTGTGCTCCTTCAATGCTGAGCACTGGCTCAAGTTCTGTGAATGAGGCAGTAACCGCATAAAACTCCCTATCCTCGTAGAGTTATGTTGTGCTGGGGGAAGAGAGGACCTCTGAGGGCTAAGAGAGAAAACAAACAGCCATGCAGGCTGGTTGATGTACACATGAGTGTACATGCAGGTTGGTTAGTACGCCTGTGTAGACATGAGACAGATCCTCCTTTCTACCTCCCTTCACTCTAGACACTATCGTCTGGTCATTTAAAACATCCCATCGGAATGTACACAGAGATATATAGGAGACAAAAATACCAAAAATATATAAAGTCTTACTCTGTAGCATCTGATGTAACTAGCTTTTGGTAAGTCTGTGAAAAGCCTGCTGACTGGTCCAATAAACTGCATCCTGCTATAAGAGGCCTCATGGCCTCGAAAGCTTGCAGCAATATGGTGATTGGGAAAGATGAACAATAACCAGACAGGCAAACACCCGGGCCAGAGTAGGGCAGCTCTGCAGATGGTGGGGACCAACCCATTCTAGGAATCATGGTTACCAGTGCTGGGCCAGCAGTGCTGAGACTGGGAGAAGGGAGCAGCGAGGCTCTGCTCGAGGCTTCCGCTGGATGCCTTCAGTGCTGTGCTCTGTTCCTGCTTTCTGCACCACACAGTCTCACACGTAAGGATTTCTGGTTGGATAAAGGGAAGGCATATCTTCAGAAGGAAAGAGATGCCATCATTTCCTAATGAGAAAATAAGATACCAGTTAGCGTTCTCAATTTGAAATAAAACATTTAAGAAGGTAGCAGCCCAGCTTTTGATTTTTCTAGTTTAAATTCAGTCCATACAGGAACACAGGCGCCACTCACAGCAGACATCCTTCTGGTGGGTTTCTCATACCCTGCCAAGGCAGCCCTTCTCATTGCAGGGATAGGTTCTCTCTCCTTTTTTACATCTTATATCAAAGCTTGATTTCCCACCACTGCTTTCACTCCTAAACCTGATGCTAATCAGAATAAACTTTATCTTTTCTGGATTCCTTTTTATTAATTGTGTGGAGAGAAGAGACTGACAATGCTGTCTTTCTCATCATTCATTGCCTTAACTCCTTTTTTTCCAAATTTTTGAGACATGGTCTCATTATGTAACCTCATTGGCTGTCCTGGAACTTGCTATGGAGACCAGGCTGGCCTCAAACTCATAAAGATCCTCCTGTCTCTACCTTAGAGTGCTGAGAATAACAGCCTGTGCCACCACAAAGGCCTGCCACCTTACTTTTGAAACAAAATTTCCCTCTAAACCCAGAACTCAGACTGGAGAATCTGTGTGGCCAGTGAGCCCCTGGGACCTCCTGTCTCTGAATCATTCAACTCCTGAGTTACAGACGTGTACCATGCCTGGCCTTTTATGCAGATCTTTAAACAGCAGTAATGGTTTATGATCTACATTCACCCTTCATTAGGGAAATGGTCAAAACGTGGGCTTCAAACAACAAGACCACCCCACATGAGTTAATCTCAGTTAATTAATTAATTCAGTTAATCTCAGAAGTCCTAGAAGATAGACCTCAACTTCTCTGGAAGTGTTATTTGAGAGAAGAAGCAAAAATTTTAGAACAACAGGGAAAAGCAAAAGGACTAGAGATTTCCCAAGATCAAATATTTGGTGAGGGATATTACTCTGATCCTCAGGCTCTTTACAACAAATACACCTTGTCCCTATGTAGCACAGCAGCTTTAAATGCTTAGGACAGGATTCAGTATCCAGGAAATAGAATTGAATCATCTATTATGGTTAAACAGGGTAAGAGAGAACACTTTAGTGACTTTTTACAAAGATTAATAAAAGCTGTACAAATAGGAGTAACAGACCCAGAAGAAAGATGTGTACTCACGTAGATGTGTATGTGGAGGTGCAGCCAGTATTGTACCAATGAATGTAGGTTGAAAAAAGACAGACAAGGTAACCTGAAATCATCAGGAAACTGATTGGGGGACCTCTCACAGACACCCATGTCAGACGTGGTCCAGTCATTTCCAGTTACTTTGGAGAACATGTCTCACAAGGAAAATTAAAAATCCAGTGTCTACTGTAAAAAAAAATTATGCTGGTCTAGATGATAGAATAGACATGGAGGATGAATCCAAAACTCCAGCAGGAAATAGGAAAAACACTTTCTGGCAGGCTTCTATAAATAATTAAAGAACAAAGCTAAGAGTATGTATGGATGGCATTGTAATTGAAGGCTTGCTAGACATGGGTGTGGATGGAAGTATCATTATTCCAGAATCTTGGCATCTGAAGTAACCTATTCAAAAGGCAGATATTCAGTTCCTAGGAATTGGAACCTTATCCAAGTAAAACAAATCACAAGATATATTGAATGCATAGGGCCAGAAGGAAGGCTGAGGCTATATGTAGTTAATGTTGCAGTGAAATTATGGGGTCATGACCAATTTCAGCAAGGGAATACCCAGATTAACATTTCTGCAGCTACAAAAACTTATGTTTCTGGGGAAGGTATTATAAGGTATTATAGACAAAAGTCACAAACCATTCAGGTTGTACAAGAATACAAAACAAATGATAAATGTTCAGTAGTACTAATGGCCCTGCTTTAAAATGGTTAACTGAGAAACCAATATGGGTTAAACAATGGCCCTAAACAGAAGAAAAGCTGCAGGCTTTAGAACAGCTGGTACATTAGCAACTATAAGCTCACCACATTGAAGAATCTACCAGCCTTTGGAATTATCCCATATTTGTTGTTAAAAAGAAATCTGGAAAATGGATAATGATGGCAGATCTTCCAGCTGTCAACATAGTTATTTAACCTATTGGTCCTCTACAATCTGAAATTCCCCTGCCTTCTCTGTTACCAAAAGGATGGCCTCTCATAATTTCTGATTTAGAGAATTGTTTCTTCACTATTCCTTT